ACGCACCCACAAATTGATTATACAAAATTGACTATACATTAGACAATGTTACTTGGATGGACACCAAATTAAGGGTAAAATAGAAAGGAAGAGAGGAGAGGAGGGGGTGGATGAATAGGGTCAGTGCAATACAGGTGTCTCACCTCAACTCCTTTGTCCTGAGACTTCCCCGAAAAGAGTGACAACACATCATCTAAGACTGCTCGTAAATCAAACTGCACTTCCTCAAGCTCTAGCTTACCAGACTCAATCTTAGCCTGATCCAAGACCTCATTTATAAGTGCGACCAGAGCCTTTCCACTAGCTTGTGCAGTTCTGACATAATCTAGCTGTGTAACATCTAAATCTGTGTCCATAAGCATATGCAACATTCCTGAAAAAAAAAAAAAGGTGTTTCACCATCACGGCTAAGTAAACTTTATTCTCTACAAGTTATTTAATTTAATTTTCGAAGCATAATTATACAATGTATAGATAACACTCAGAGAAATAAACGAAAGCTTCAAGACTCACCCAGAACACCATTCATTGGGGTTCTGATCTCATGGGAAACAGTAGCAAGGAACTGCAAAAAGGTCACAATTTAATTAGGAACAAATGTCCATATCGTGTCAGAAGGCTTGGGGTATAAATCAGACATATCAGATACCTGAGATTTGGCAACATCAGCTGCCTCAGCCTTTTTTTTGAGCTCCATCATCTCATGGAAATCATCTTCCACCTTAGCAATTCGATTAACAGTTGCATGGAATATATGCCCAACAAGTAATGCAATGACAAGGATGCCGATTGAAGTGGTTATAGCTAACCATGGCCATGGTGGCTTTTGCTTAAACCTATATGAAGAACATACTTAGTCCAAGATTTATATTCAGCTTCTTTACATTTAAAATATTTTTTTAAAAAAAAGAGGAAATGAATATAGAACCTCTCTGATATATTAAATTACCCTGGTTTTATGGACATTGATAACAGTGAAACTTATATAAAGGTTGACATGTCGCTTGCAAAGGCCAATTCACTACAATCCTTTGTTTTTAAGGAAATAGGAGAATTATGTTATATTGAAACCGATAAAAAACCAACAATAGAGGCCCATATCAAAGACAAAGTGAAGCCTAGATCAATAGATGACACAAGATCAAAGGACTACCTGCAGCGCATCTCATGCTTTCTGAAAGGATCTCCAAAATTAAGGTGGCTGACATGTTCCAACCCATCATCGGATGCATTTGAGCCATACATACTGATAGGGTGAGACTGATTAGTTGTATCTAACACATTCACAAGGATTGTTTGTTTACTTGCAAGCTGTTGTAGCAACTTTTCCACAAGTGACTCAATATCAAACACTCCACCAAGATACCTGATTGAGCAGTTAGGGCATTAGGATGACTCTCACTAACTATCATGAAAGAGATCATCTTATTAGAGCCATTAAGTAGAGCATCACATCATGAACCTTTTGTTGAAAAGGTGATAGTTTGTTCCACCTTTTTCTGCATGACATTTACTTTGATTGATGCAAATGATCAATTTTAGAGGGCTTAAGCTATAGGATTTCTTCTTCCAACTTTTCCATGTTTGTGCATATGTGTATGTGTGTTTCTAGAGATGGAGAGCCTAATGAAGTCATCTTTCCACTATTTTCATAAACAAAAAGACATTTATTAAACATTCCCCTCTACTTTTTGTTCATAGTGAAAACATACCCATCAGTTGCTTGAATCCTCTCATTAGGAGTTGCATTTGAGGGAAGATCCCCCTTGTAAACTGCAAATGTCAAAATAACTCCAAGACGATTTGTTTTGAGTAACCTAAAAGGAGCTGTTAGCACCCCTTTTCCTGATTTTCTTGCACGCAATACATTCTCACGATCTTCCTGTTGGTACACAAGAAATTAGAGCTTCACAAATGAGGATTGCAATAAATGAATTCAAATTTCTTTATTCAGCCACTGTCAAAGCTCTTAAGAGATTGAAAATAGTGTTCTTCCAGACTAGAAAGTAATAAGATTAACTCTTCAGTCCTATTAAGCTTAATACAAGTTATTCAGGAACTTTGGGTTTCTCTTCTGTGCTGTTCTCTTTTATTAGAAATAGTACAACTTTCAGTGAAATCTATCAGTGCAGATTATGGCTACAGAAAGAATCAAAAGAACCTTTTAAAAAATAGTAAAGCAACTAACCTTTCCTGACAGCATATCAATAGAAACCACATGTGAAATGATATCCTGTGCAAAGATAACAGGAGCATATTCTTCCTGAATTGGTGATGGTTCCAAGAGGTCAGGATTATAGTCATCTTTATGAACTGGATTTTTTTCAAGTGTATCCATCCTCTTAATAGTCCAACCCTGTTGCTTCTCAAATTGTTCCCTTTCCGAGTGGAGCACCCTTACAGCATATGCCACACCACTTGTGAGGGGCCTCTCAAAAGCTGTTCGTTCCGTGTACCTCGCAAAAGTCCTCTACAGGTTCTTAAAGTGAGTTTCCTTTGTTGACTAAAAATCAAGTGATCATAATTCATAACTAAAAACACTCAGATCTAGTTTGGTCTAAGCTTAAATAACCATGTTTAACTTCTGAACCAGGAATGCGTATCAAATTGGCAAAATTCTTATTTGATCTAAAACCTGGGAATAACAATTCTGGTTGAGATCGCTTAATTATATAGATAATCAATCACATTAAGTAAGTACCCCAGACTAATCCAGATCAAGCCGTTCAATTGCTAAAATAGGGTGAATTCCATTCTAAATTAAGAAAAAAAGAAACAAGATAGCACTCTGAACGGAGCACAAGAGAGAGAAGACACCAAATGATGGCAATCAAGCACCTCAAGTGCATAATTATCTCTCAACTACCTATAGTATTCTAACTTACTAAAACTAAAAGTTATAAGAAGAGGATATGACTTACCTGATCAATAGCAGAGGGGTGCTTGCCATGGTGGAAAGTTGAGATCAAAATGGACATAGCCTGGATATGGTTCATGCTTACATTAAACTGATCCTGCAACATCCTCGCTCTCTCATCACACATGCTAGCAAGTGTCTCCTTCCTCTTTTCCGTAGCTTGAGAGCTCATGTAACAGAAGATCCAAATAGAAGCTACAGTCCAAACAATTACCCATGAAAACAAGAGCTTTCTCCACCAAGTTTTGCCAAGTGTCTTTGAACCAATATACTGGTAGTAGTGATGGTGGATCTTGAAGCTATAGCTAGAGATTTTATCCCAGCATTTGAACCACATCTTGCTACCACTATCACCAAGGAGACCAGCCTTGGCGTCCTTAAATTCACCATTAATGAACCAGTTCATGGAGATCATAGATGCTATCCAGCAACATAACATCCAAAGCAGATGCCCCACCTTCAAACCAAACCCAAATACATGGAGAAGACTCATCCAAGACACAGTAACCAATTACAAGCTAACTAAGAAAACAGTACCCCAGACTGAAGTGGGTCTAACTTCCTTGTTAATTCCAGCTAGAAGAGAGAGACCCACTGTCAAATCTATAGAAACTGTCTAGTAAAATCCAACATCACCAAAAAATCAAGAACCTTGGGATAAGAAGAAAAACCCAGCAAACTCCAAATTGACTACAAGACAGATTGATTGGGAGGAGTTGTACCCGTGAGGGAAAGATTAAAAAGAAAAAAGATGCTATCTTATCCAGTACTATAGCCTCTACTAACTGAGAAATGCAAAATAGAAGAGCCAGGATTAGGAAGATAAGGAAAATTTTGGCAATAATCACAAAAAAGAATTAAAGAATCCCTCAAGATTCTGAGTTTCTAATTCTAAACAGAATTTGCTTTTATCCTGTTAACTACCAACCAGAGTCCAGAACAAGAAATGCGCCAAAGTGACCAGAAAACAAAGATTCCAAATTAGATATCAAATCAATAAAAACTAGCTAAGCTTCCCCCTTCCCCCAGGCAAAAGAATCTGACAGGAATTCTAGTTTACGGGAGAGAAGTCCTTAAATTCCTAAAATCAAGCAGTAAGACAATTATCAAACATGTGGGTATTAAGGTTTGACCCCAAAGATCACCCGTAACAACCTGTAGAGATCTATCAACAGAATTTACAGCAAAAATAATATGACTACTTGTACTATTAAAGGTGACACTACCCTTACACGTTGCTGGTGTAGTTGAAGATAAAGAACCTAACAAGAGCAGATTCATGGACATTTAAGATTGAAAGAATCTGTGAAAGAAAGATGAGAGGAATATGGTGGTAGAAATGTCTGCTAGCACAGGCCATTATCTCTATCCCATAGAATTCACCCTCCCAAAAAAGAAACATATACTAGTAAAAGTTTTTTTTAAGTTCAAAGCTCACAAAAATATGTATTTAATATTTTATATTTCTATACTAGTACTGTAGTGCTACCAGTATGTCTTGTTGTTTTTTCTTTAAATGTACTAATTACAAATATTTAATAAGGGTAGGAAGGGCATCTTCCACTGAGAAAAATCATTGTCTTTTTTCTTTTCTGTGTTTTTTGGGTTTCCCTAACTCTACCTTGTGTTCACATCTCTATCCATCCACACCCTCAAGTAGACAACTTCTACACGCCAAGTCGTTAACTCTCTGTCTTTGTGTGGCTGTACTTTCTTTTGACAAAAGTACCCTCGCATGAGAACAAAATTTCGATCAATTAACATCGACTTTATTGTTTCATCCATTTTGGCATAAGATGCCCTGCTCTTTTCAAAACTGCCATAACAGGAACCTGAGTCAAAAGAGTAGGTAAAGAGATGAAGCCAAGGCCATCCCCTCGAGCCAACTCCGCCTTCTCTCTCTCAAGGTGTTATTCTGTCTTCTCCTCTATAGTGGAATCTAGGCCAAGGGTACGCTGTTTAGTTACACGCTCACCATTTTTTTAGCTGCTTTGCATGCTAAAAAGCCTGAAAATTCCCACACAAGATATAAGTTCTTTTGTGTTTTTGGTACAAATGGAAGAAGAAAACAAACATATCTTTCCGAATGTTTTTGCTTCCACTTTTACGCGCCCAAAACGTAATAATTCTTCTTTCTTTTGTATGAGTGACACCTCATCGCCTGTTTTTTTAACAAGTTAAAGCCCAAAAGCTCAACCCCACCAATCATAGACTAAGCTTTTATAGTACCCAAAAACAAAAATGTAGTTGTAACCAACCTCAACCCCAGAAGCCTTAGGGTTATAGCTAGCCTCAGCATCTCCTTTTCTAGCTTTCTTTGTAATATTATTATTATTATTACTAGTGTTTTTTGTTTACGTTCTAGGAAGCAAGAAGGAGCAAAACGCTTTTAACAGAACTACAAAGGGCTTTGTAAATGAGGGGGCAGCGGGAGGGGCAAAGATGTCAAGTTGTGGGTGATTGGCGACAACGGTGGCAAAACAGTAATTAGGGGAAAAAAGCGGTAGCGAAAATAAGAGGGCACTTTAATCAAGGTTTTGTCACCAAGGTGATTAGGCCATCACTACCCACTTCTTTTAGGTGTCCTCCGGGGGAGCTCTTCGTGATAGCGACGTCCCACGTCAGCGCACCGGTTCTCCTACTCCAACCAATCGCACACTCCAACGTGTAGTCTTCATAATAGCCCTGCGCTTTGTTACGTGGCACCGAGGGGGGCTTCGATTGCGTACTGCCATTTATCTGCCACGTGTGCAATGAGGGCTGCGGCTCACTCTTGGACGTTTGAGTTGGAGGTTAAGTAACAGTAACTGAAGTTCGTGAAGGCGCGTTTGATTTTCTTTTCCCTTGTCTGGCTCCAAGCCAAAAGTTGCCAAAACAAGAAAAATCATTTCTTTAAAATTGTTTTCCTTTTGCTTGCATTTGGAAGAGATTAATCACACCAACAGAGGGTTTTGTTCAATTAATAAATTTCTAAATCTTTTCACCCTAAGTTTTTGGGCAAAGGGCTTCCTTTCTTTGTATTAATTAGGAGTGATTGCCCTTTTTTTCTTTTTTGGTATATATTTTCTTAAGTTTTGAAATGCCATCATCCTTTGTCCTTGTGTAATTTATTAGTTTTTGTATGGTTAAAAGCTCTGTCTCCCAGTATTGACAAACAATTTTTGTCCTTACATTGTTATCACAAGAGCCAGGCTTGGGGGTTCCATCTGGTACACTTTTAAATTTTAGTATAAAAGAAAATCTCAATAATGGACAATCGCCAATTACTCATTGAAGCTTCAAGATTTTCATCTATCAACTTGTTACTATACTCTTTCCCTCAGATTAGGGAATATGCCTGATCTGCGCTGGTTCTAGGATTTGCATGAAGCTATACCTTAACTTCGTTTATGGAGCATCTGCCCCTAAAAAAAATTCACACCTGTTGTCTTTAAATTTTGGATTATACACTATTTTGGCTTTTGTAATTTAAAAAGTTACTTATTAATCTTTATGCTTTTAACTTAAAACAAAATGATTTTTTTCACAATCTTTTTTATCAATTTTGTTGTTAAGTGTCAATTGGAGATATGCAAGAAATGATGTTTCAGCTGACGTGTATGAAAACAGCTTGGGATCTATTTGGTAAGCATGAAAATGGTTTTCCATTTTTTTTTTTATATTTTCTCATGTTTGGAAAGGGAGAAATGTTTATTGAACATAAAATGTTATTTAGGGGTGTAAACTCTCCCTTCTCCTCTCCCTTGAAAATTCTCGAGACCTTCCCTTCTTTTCCCCTTTCAGCTATGATCTCCCCTCCCCTCTTCACCCCTCCGTCGACCTCTTTCATGGTCCTCCTTCCTCCCTCCACCTTCCATCGATCCTATTTCGTGCATTTCTTTTTCTTTTTGTTTGGTCACATCTGTAGTTCATTGTTTATGAGGGCTTTCATTTTTGTGGGTGTGTGAGCTCATGCAAATGAAATTGTCTAGAGGTGAACCAAGTCATTTTGAATTGAAAAAATCAATTGAATCGAAGTGAGTTCCGTTTTTTTTATTCGATTAGAATGATTTTTGGGGTGTTGTTCAGTTTGAGATGTTTGATTGGGAAAATTCCAACTAAACAGATTGAACTAACTGAATTGCTAATTATTAAAAATTTAATATCTATACACACACAAAAGGTATTTTTAACTTCATTCAATAATAGTTTTGAATTGTTAGTTATTTTTTAATTTACTTGGATCTATTAAAATTTATATTTATATGTATTATCTTAAAATCTGATAAAATGTTTATAAAAAGCTTGTTTTTTTTTTTTTTTGGAATGGCAAGATCTTTGTTGATAAAGAAGAAAGCAAGAGCACAATAGTTAACCAAGAACAACAAAACATGAAAAGAAAAGTTGAAAAATCAGCAAAAGAGAGAAAAAATGGAATCACACAAAGCAAAGAAACCAAAACCACAGGTAACTGAGACTCAAGAAAAGGAAGAGAAATCAACAAAAAATCTCCACAAGATCTTCAAGTCACTCAACACCATTTTTAGCAAGATAATCAACAATATGATTCATAGATCTCGGAATGAACAACGTTCCACTTAAAAAGCTTAGGCTTTAAAGAGTTGATCAAACGTAAAATGTTCCTCATATGCCATGGTGTAGAGAGAAGATCATTAGTCCACTTAACAACATTCATAAAATCAAATTCCATAATAAACTCATGTATACTGGCCTAAGATAAAGCAATAGAGAGAATAAAGGCTTCCTTAATGGCATAGATTTCAGCAATATTGGAGTCCATAATGCCCACAAACTTGGAAAAGAGACTTTTAACATTATTATCACTGTCTCGTAAGGTACCGTCAATTCCAACAGCCCTAAGGCCACCTCTCCCAGCGCCATCGACATTGAATTTCATGCAACCAACACTAGGTCTAACCCAATCAATCATTGGTTTGATTTTTTTTTTTTTGCAACAAAAGAGCCTTAGCAAAGGTTGGTGCTTGAACAATATAAGAAAAGAAGAATTATCCAACGGCCACTTGGCCTTTATCCATAATCCAATTCTAAATTTAATAATTTCATAAATTTGGAAGATGTCAAAATGTTTTCCTTTGAAGAGTAGTTCATTTCTAGAAAGCCATATAGCCAAACAACAGTAAAGAAAGCCATGTGCCAAATAAGAAAACTCTCCTCTTTAGAGATGACACCATTCCAAGCAAGAAGAAAAGATCTCATATCATTTGGAAGAACTAAATTACGATTCCAAGACTTAATCCAGAAGTTCCATATTCTCCATGAGTCATAATAAAGCAAGAAAATGTGGTTGACCATTTTGATATCTTTATTGCAAATGGCACATAAAGTAACATTTCTTTTAATGAGACCCCTTCTAATCAGTGCCCTTTTGATAGCCATACAACCTTTCAAAGCTTGCCAACAAAGAATTTCCATTTTAGGAGGTGCAAGGTTGGCCTTAATCATTTTTCAAAGATGTTGGTTTACGCTTGCTTGCCTAGTAACAAGTTTACAAAAAGACTTGGAGGAATAAATACCATTAGAGTTGTGTTTCCAAATGATCTTATCAAACATCTCCTTATCAAGGCATGAACTCTTCAATAAATCCTTGAGGATGTTCCATTGCTCTTTTTCCCAATCGAATAAATTTCTTCTTAAGGGAATTCCCCAATGCCAAGCATCATCAATCCAAGAACCACAGTCAACCAAAGTACCATTTTTGTTGACAAAAAGAGCATAAATGTGAAGGAAGACAACTTTAAAACTCAAGCACTCCACCCAAATATCATTCCAAAAATTAATGTAATTACTCATACCTGGTAGCAAATCAATGCTAGCTTTAATAAGATTAGATATTTGAAAGCAATCCTATAAAGGGCTCACAATTTTGCTCCAAGTGAAAAACATCTTCTTAGGCTAATTAGGGGAAGGGATGAGAGAGTTGACATCCATATCATAATGAGCAATAGCAACATGCCGTCTTAGAGAATCTTTTTCCTCACCAAAACACCAAATCAATTTGTTAAGGAGTGAATGGTTTTTAATGTGAAGATCCACAATGCCCAAGCCACCATAGACTTTAAGAACGCAAATAGAAAACCAGTTCACATAGTGGATTTTTTTAGTTGAGTTATCAGCACACCAAAGAAATCTTCTTTGTATACAGTCGAGTTCCATTTTGATACCAATAGGCAGACAGAACAAAGACATATAACAAATTGGTAGACTTGTAAGAATAGATTTGATAAGAGTGAGTCTACCTCCAATGGAAAGAAGCTTACTTTTTCAACCAGTAAGGCATTTCTCAAATTTTTCAATGATAGGTCATTAAATAGCAAGAGAGCTAAGATTTGTGCCTAACGGCAACCCCAAATAAGTAGCAGGAAGAGAGTCAACTTTACATGTAATTCTTCTAGCCTATTCCTCAAGCACTTGAAATTGAACAGCAATACTATGGAG